GAATAAACTTAACTTTAGTGACGGTGCTAAAAACATACATTCATCGTTTTATGAAGTATAAATGTGCCGACAGATATGCGATGAAAATGCGAGATGTAAAAGAACGAATCCATAAAAGAAAAATCAAGATGTTAAACGTGGTACATTTCGCGTGACAATCCTTCGAAGGGAGCAACGGAACTTGGATATCTCGAGATAAAACTTTCAATTGTATGCGAGGCAAGCCGAAAAGTTGCAACGCATTCGGAAAAGCCTGCCACTTACGCGACGTTAAAAAAAAACAAAGGAAATAAATTCCGTACGATAAGAATCTCTTCTGTTTGGATCTGCAATTGCATTTTATGTTTTAATACTGGTCAGTTTTGCCGTTTATGTAATCCCTTTTTGCAAGATAAACGTTCCTCGTGACGTGGTAAAGTTGCAAAAAGAAGATAAATCTTCGCCATTCGCTGCACAACATTTTCAGATATGTACAACGTAGCAGAGGAAGAAATTTCTTCTAATAAATTATATCTAAAGGTGTCCACAATATTCATAAAATTTGCACGCAATTTTCTAACATTTCTCTCAATCTCGCTTTAAAAAAGCATAATTACGCGTTTACACGGAATTATAACATAACTGCGCTTGCTGGAAAATCATAATTTCTGTTTTACGGTGAGTCTCCCTTGCGCGTTTGAACGCGTTGACTCTGTAATACGAAACAACAACTCGTGTTTCGCAAACGTAGAAACGGGATTATGACATCTGCGGCTATCACACCATTTTTGAGCCTATTTCTCACAGATGTTTCCTGCATAAAGGGAGATAGCCGGCGTGAACATTGATACAAGCTGTAATATTCATCGCGATGAAATAAACGCGTATCTACGTTTCGAGATACTATTTTTTATCGACAGCCTCGATTAAGCAAAACTGTTAAATCGGGTATCGAGTATAAACATACCTGAGTGTCGCTTTGTCCGCGTAACTTTTATAGCCGTCATATTTCATTCCGATTGAGTATTAGATTTGTTTTAAAAATGTTTTCGATTCGTTACTAATAAGTGGAGGAGCGCGTTATAGAGTCAGGTCATATTTTCAGAGATATTGAATTACTTTGCATTAAGTTCGCGCCTCAGTATATGGTAAATTAAGATATGTACGATAAGTATAGAATTATAGCACCTCGCGAGGATCAAAACTTACAAACAACTGAAAAGCTCAAATATTCTTTTAGCAAGAAATTTGTAATTGTTCCGTTTAAACGTGTTACGTCCGACTACTTAGAAGCAGTTATTAAACTTCTGACTTTTCAACTTTCCGCCCAGTTGCATAGCCGGACCGCAAATGCGAGGAATAAAAGTTTGGCGAAGCCATTAGTATAAAGGGCGTTCGTGGTAATAATGCTTCGTGTGTATATCGATATCACTTCTGTAGTTTGTTTTTAATCCATTAATACAGTCCCAAAGCCAACATGATAAAACACTTTATATGTTTGTACGTTTTGTTAACCCTAGAACTCGGAACGTGGATAAAATTTATCCAGATCAAGTTGAAGAAGAGTGAATTTTAAAGAAACGTGTGTTTCGTTTTTTTTTAGTAACTTTTTCAATTCAATTTAATTGTAAAAAATATTTACGAAATTATCTTCCTCGATGTTGTCTACAATTACGGTTAAAAAAGGTATTGAAATTTAATTATTTTTCCGGATGTCAGCAAATAAAAATGCTACACAGTTGG